CCTGGCCAATCCTGTCAGACAACACAATATAATAAAACCTGGCTTATCCTGACCTATCCGGCCAGACAATACAAAACAATAAAACCTGGCCTATCCAGGCCTATCCGGCCAGACAATACAATACAATTAAACCTGGCCTATCCTGTCAGACAATACAATACTATAAAACCTGGTCTATCCTGGCGTATCTGGCCAGACAATACAATACAATAAAACCTGGCTTATCCTGGCCTATCCGACCAGACAATACAAAACAATAAAACCTGGACTATCCTGGCCTATCCAGCCAGACAATACAATACAATAAAACCTGGCCTATCCTGGCCTATCTGGCCAGACAATACAATAAAACCTGGCCTATCCTGGCCTATCCAGCCAGATAATACAATACAATAAAACCTGGCCTTTCGTGGCCTATCTGGCCAGACAATACAATAAAACCTGGCCTATCCTGACCTATCCAGCCAGATAATCCAATACAATAAAACCTGGCCTTTCCTGGCCTATCTGGCCAGACAATACAATACAATAAAACCTGGCCTATCCTGGCCTATCTGGCCAGACAATACAATACAATAAAACCTGGCCTATCCTGACGTATCTGGCCAGACAATACAATACAATAAAACCTGGCTTATCCTGGCCTATCCGGCCAGACAATACAATACAATAAAACCAGGCCTATCCGGCCACACTCCAGACTTGGTAACAAAAAAATGAAGACACATCTGAACGTCACATGAATTAAAACAAAAATGTGCAAAAATAATTTAACATTTGCATACGATTCACAAGTACTTTGTAATAATCTATATCATATGTAATGCATTATAAACTGGAGTCAAACATGTGTGTTACATGTGTAAAACATGTGGTCAAGGTGTATTAAACCTACCATTCCTGGCGGGAAAGGAATGATGCGGGATGATGGTTGAGGTGTGGCCGGGGCACACGAGGACTAACACACAACGACAGTACTACAACTATAGAACTATAACTATAGTACTACAACTATAGTACTATAATACTACAACTACAGTACTACAACTATAGGACTACATATCGCACCGTTAGTCTTGCAGGTCTGCACACTCACACGTGTTTATTACATATATACGTCCACAAACTGTATAGCACACGTGTGTGCAGTGATGAAAATATCACAGCAAGATGCCTCTGCAGTGGGAAACGCTGGCTGGAGTTGCAAGCGTTCTCTCAAATTGAAGAAAGCTACGGTTCTGGGGGAGACTTGGCCAGCAGTGGGAAGTTACTGACTGACAGCAACAACAACAACAAACAGCAGGAGTATACCGAGTCGAGTTATTTGAAGACGGACTAAGATAACAATATGTAAATAAAGAAGAGGATGAGAGAGCGGGGCTGGGGTGCTTTTGGAAAAAAAGTGAAGTACTGTAGATCAAAATGCAAAGTTAACAACGCATGCAACAGAAACATGGCCACTGGCAAATAAAATGCGATACTATTCGACAGAGAGTGCCACAAAGAAGCGCGGAGATGTGCCCGCTTGAAATTGCATTGACGGAAAGCAAGAGAGACGCCGTGGATTGTAGAACAAATGGAAGCTAGAGACGTCGTGTTGACGATTAGGTAAGTGGGCACGGGCAGGCCGCCTTTGCTGGAAGGAATGACGGCCGGTGGTGGAGACTCATGGCGTGTGGCAAGCCAAGTCAGCGGCGAACGAGCACGGGACGGACGTCCATCGTGGAGAGGGCAGCGATGAAATCGGCTCGCGTGCAGGAGAGAGATCGATTGTTGCATCGCGGCATCGTGAGAAATGGCGTAGCGTTGGGGGAGGCCTTCATCCAGCAGTGGATTGGCTGGTGATGATGTGCTTGAGGATTTTTTGTTTAGAATTCAAGACAAATCAATTTCATCTTCCTTCTAAAATAAACATTGGGAGAATTTCCACATTCCATAATGCATTCTATCCTATTATGGAATTTTACATCAGGTGATAGTCCAGAATTTAAAGAACAGGTCGTGTGCATAATGGACGATCAAATATGTGTCCAGTGACATGGCTACGCAGAATACTGATGGGCTGCGAGGGTAGGAAGCCACGATTTAATCATGTGTTGTAGGCATGTAATGATGCATGGATTTATAGGTTAAACTAGATTCTGATGCTTAGAATATGTCCATTGAATCATGGATTTCTTCTTCTATCATATGGAAGTAGGTGTAAATTATGCATCCAGGTTTAAGTTTGTGAGCCATGTGATAGCTTCGGCAGCAGCGTGACTAATACTGTCCATCCATGGGACTATTTTTTGCAGGATCAAGGTGATGAAAAGATGTTTGAAGATCTTAACATCTGTCTTATTCACTGTTCTTCTAACGCTGTCCAGTCCCCTGGAGAGCAGGCGGAGAAGAAGAGGGCGCTTGTTGGCGACGTTCTCCGTCGTGTGGCCGGGGCGGCTGCAGGCCCTGCACCGTGCGCCAACTTCAGTGCCCCACTTGTGGGAGAGGCGAGCCCAGCAGCAGCGGTGGCGGGCCAGCGAGCGAGCGGTCGCTCTTCTGAAGCGGTCAGTGGAGCCACCGGCACCACCACTGCCAGAGTGAACTTGACAGAACGAAGCGGAGCAGCAGCTGTGGGGCCCTCTACGAGGCTGCGGTCAGGGACCTCGGCACAACTGCCCTGCGTTTGCCAGCGGTCTCCAGTTGACCCCCGCTCCAACAGGGGGAGATCGAGAGAGGGTATTTGGTCTACTCTTCCATTGCTGGCCAGACGTCTTGGAACGGGTGTAAATACACCACACACTTTACCCTACCACACGTGACTTGTGATTGACTAACAGTGGCGTACCCATTTATACTCTAGGGTGGACAGAGGCGCAGGGAAATCTTCGAGGATCCGGCCGTATTTTCAACTGCCGCCACCGAGAAATCGATGTCCCGGTGACCTCTGCCCTGCGGAGCCTGCGCTAGGTGTACTCGCCATACAATGACCACACAGTCACCTGCCCGCCGCCACGTTGACTTCACTTAAAGTAGCCGATTAGGAACTCCCCTAGGTTTACTGAGCCTGAAATGAGCCCACAGCAGGCGGCCTATTGTAGATCAGTGCGCGTGGGACGTTATTGTAATACGAGCCCTTCACCGGGGTAGGGACATGAAAGTTGTTTGTACGGCAAAACAGAAAAACCGCCAAGGTAAAACCAGTGCCATGCTGCCGCACAACGTCTGCGGTCACGCTTATTAGCTTCCCGCAGCGGCGTCGCAGATGTGCCGCGGACACCGCGGCGTCTGCGATCGCCGCTTTTTTTGTGCTCGGCGGTTCCGGCGTGGAACGTCGGAAAGCGTCCCAGGCTATCCCACCTTCTGCTCGGCCGGGTGTTCTCCACGCCGATCTTCACACGAGGCCGACAGATGCCCAACAGCGTCACGCTGCGTAGATAGCGGGCAATTAGCCACGGAATTAATCAGCGCGGCAGTGGGATGGCGGTTGCGGCTTGTTCAAAACCCGGATTAGGCGTGCGTTATGCTTTTTGATGAACACGAATCGCGCAGCATGTCTGCCGCCCGTGCCCAATCCGGTCGCTGCTGCTGCTCACCATCCAACAGAGCCCCACGTCGGTGATAACTCAGCGGATTACTCGTCCTTCCCCCGGCACCCTGTACCGCCCACCTGGTCACCGTGGCGGTCACGGCAAGCGACGTCGTCAAGCAGGGGAGACTGGACCGTGGGTGGTGGTGCAGGTGGTGGTATGCGTGCGTTGCGATGTCGAAGGGGGTTGTAATTTTTTCCCACGTGGATAACGAGTGGCTCGTTAGTCGTCTGCAGGGCACGCCCTTCAGCAGGAGGCCCAGATATCACCGAGCTAAGCGCTCGTGGAAAAATGCACTGCGGAATGAAATCATTCTATTCGCTACTCACCTCGCACTTTATTAAGAAATTGTCACAGATTGGGAGCTGTTGTAAGCTATGGCCGGAAATCAAACTCAGAATGCTGGGTCGACGGTACAATGTGCTCACCACTTCCACTACCACTCGCTGCCTCCTTCATACAACGTATACAAATTAAAACTAAACTATTTTCACGCTTGCGATTTAATGCCTGCATCGTGAGTGTAAACTATCAACCGTAATCGCTGAATCAATGCATCGCTCTATGCTTACACAGCGGTGCTGTATGCCAAGGGCAATTTCAATAACAGATTGTGACACACATAGCAGGACAGCACTGCGGTAACTATCGTTCTCACGAGCAACGCTCCACTAATACTGCATATCGCCCATTTACAGCCCTTTGTCAATCCACTGCTGGATGATGGTCTCCCCACGGACATGCCAGTCATCAGGATTTCGTTTTTACTCCACTTGCTCATATATCACTCGCCAACGGGGGTCCAACTCATCCTGCCAGGTTCATAGTGCAGTGTGCAAACCCATTGTGCCACCGCTGTGCACCAACGAGAATGTGAGTGGGTGCGCCTCTATGCCAGTGGTGGCTCGTGACTCCTCAAGTTCGGGAGGCTTGGAACGTCACCTTGCTGGGTTTGCCAGTCTCAGGCTACGCGTACAAGGTGGATTCAAGGAGTCACTGCGATGTGACGGCCGCGGCTGCTTCATCGTCAGCGCTTTCTCTAACAGAAGACGGGCGCACCACAGTCCCTGTAGCTCCTCGGACAGCTGATCTAGTCGGAGCCCAGCGCTAGTATTTTCCTACAAAGTGCCTCTGCATTTCACCTACTCTATGTATTAATCAAATTGCATGCATTAGCCGAGACAGGAAAACCCAAGGCGGGGTATGCGACCTCCGCAAACCGTAGCCATTGTATTTCCGCTGGCTGAATACAAAATATTTGTACCGTTGTCCGATATGTTCGTGTGTTGTTCCACGCACCATGTTCCCGAAAGAAGGTTCCGGCACATGGAGCAAACCGTCGGACACCGTGCCGAACACCACACGGCACAACCCGCGACCGCAGCGACCGCGAAGCCCCCCGGCGAGTGGCGCAAAGAGCTTCCTCCTTACCCCAGGGTGATGATCTGCTGGCGACAGGGCACGGTGTTGCGCAGACACGTGCCGGCCATGGGGTCCACGTCCTCCACGATGACGAAGGGCCTCTCCTCGAGCGTCACGACGCTCAGGTGGCGGTCCTCCACGCCGGGGGGCGGCCGCGTGCCGTAGCGCGGCCAGATGGAGTACTTGAGCGTGAGCGCGTCGCCCTCCCACTTCCCGACCTGCGGCGTTGGCCAAAGCGTTGAAGCGTCAGTGGCGCACGTGCACATTGGGTGTCTGCCCACTCCACCATTAAGTCGAGAACCGAAAGTTGTGCGAGAGCGAGGCCCCAGTGTAGCCTTCCCACGTACGCAGCGGCAGCGGTGCTGAAGATACTCTGCAACGTCCTCGAAGTCTGTTGTCGATGGTCATGGGAGCCCCATCTCATAAGATTTTGGAAGCTCGCTAGGGTTGAGCCTGGACAGTGCTCACTAGATGGCGACCCACCATGCGTACCGCTACATGGGGGTTACTGACCACACTGCACTGTCAGCGTGGGTCACACGACCGGTTATAAGTACGTTGGGAATCAAACTCTAATCACCGGGTTAACAGTGCAGTATACTAGACATTGGGCCACCACTCCACTATCAAATTAGTGTGCATTACGAAAGACGTTGGGTGGTTTAACTTCAATGTGACATTGTTTGAGACTCGTTTATGATTGACAGGAAGCATTAAATACATAACGGGAGAAACCACACTTGGGCGTAAGTTCGGAATGTTCACAAATGAAGGCGAATGCTCGTGTGGTGCTGTGGCAGGGCACACAACGCACAATGGGTAAGCTGCGAGTTGAAGTGGCGGTCAAGCATTGACTCGACCGATCGTTCCTTCACTGATACTAAAACACGTTTCCACTCTGTGGGAAATCAGTTCAGATCAGTTTTCAGTTTTTTTATTAGGTATAGCCCTGTGAGCCATGCGGCTCTTGAATCGGATGCAACCGCAACAAACATGAACAAGAAACATCTTCAAGTGACAACTAATCAACAACAGCTGTGCTATGCCACAGGAATGCTAAAGTCCCATCACCGGCTCAGGGCCACAAACAGAAGAGAGTACCACCCCCGACGCTTTGACCAGACATTTTGGCTCGAGTCGATCGTTGCCGACCGCTCACCTAGGACGCGCTCACATTTCACAGTGCACAGGCTTCCGGCGGCGCCGCGAGCCTGCAGACGACCACACGGCAGGTGACGTGGGCAGTGGCCAGAAAACCTCCGATGCCGCAGAAGGAGCCCGGCATAGAAACTTCAAAGCGACTGCTTCATTGCCGCTGCCGGCGGTGGACTCGCAGCGGTGGCACGGAGGATTTGTGATGCCCCGCAAATGAGCTGATGTCCCACTGTTAACAGTACTTTTTTTATTCTCCTGCAAGCCGCGCTGGAAGCCACTTAATTGCAAACAGCAAAAAACGCATCTCCGCACGCAGCCTTTTCGCCGGCGTATTATCGTGGGCCAATTGTCAGTTGGCAGTGACGCCCCACGCGCGTTGTGTCCACCCACCACCACCGCCACCCCCTCGCCCCTCGTGCCTTGATTCCCCTCTCCTTACCTCCTCATTTTCAAACGGCATTTGTAGGAGGATGAACGAAAGAGAGGTGAGAGGTGGTGGCCAAAATGTTTCATTAAACTATTAATGAATTGCATTTAACAGTGAGGCACAAGTGACAAAGGAATTACTCCGACTGCCAGTCACGATGTCATCAACTTCAGAATAACGTGGGACATGATGTACATTGGCAGTTTAAACAAAAACCAATCCAGTCGCTGAGCAGAGGCCCACAAGCCCAAAACGTGAAGCGGCCAGAAACCAACGGCATTTTAAACGGTCTAAGAGATAAGAGTGTAACACGTTTCTCGAATTGAGCGAGGTTGTTAAGAAATTTGGAAAAGAGGCGATCGGAGAGCGTTATGAAATGGAAGCAGCTGTGTCGTGACCTGCAGTGCGGTGGTTGAGCACGGTGGGACTAAGGCGGTGTTGTAGATGGAGACCTCAGAGTGGGGTGGAGTAATTAACGAGTGAATTCCACGGGAACAGCGCCCATGGTAGGAGCGATATGGACATATGAACCATTGCGAGTCGATGATTTAACCACTGCGGAGGCTTTCGCGGTAGCGCTGTGTAGCTCTCCGCGTGTTGTCGGCACGACGTCCGACGTTTCGTGCCAGCCACGTGGCATTGATGCCTGACATCGGACATCATGCCGAAAGCAACGTGCGGTACAACCAGAACACATGGGAGGGCGATGGGCTAACCCCTTTATGGCATCTACACCGAGGGTTGACCCAGCCTCACGTGATGGTGGACAACTGGGAGTTGGTTAAAAGAGCGACATGTCCCTGATTTCCCCAGTCGCTCGAGTTGTGACGCCACTTGGACAGACGCTTCCAAGCGTGGACTGGAAGCCCATTTAGAAAATAAATAATCTACCACCCCTCATAAACAAAACATTGCATGCAAAAAAAGCAAATATTTGTCTGATAAAAATCAGCCGGCAATACTGTTCAATGATATTGACTTTCAAAACCGTGAAAGCCTTGGAAACTTCAGATGCCTTTTTTTATGTAACCCATTCGCACTACATGAACGAGTCATAAAAAGTCAGTGGTCGGACAATGACGTCGCTGTTCCGTCGACAGCGCCCCTTGTGGGATTGGTTGGGCCTTGCGGTGATGCGCTAAAAGCCACCCCATCCCCTCCCTCGCTCCCTCCACTGCGGTCAAAGAATGATCGTCCATCGCTTTTCCGAGGGCATTCCCTTTGGGAGGACGAACAGCGTGAGGATACACCGTGACAAGTCATCATCGGCGGGAAGACCTTGAAAGAGAGCCCCGTGTCGCAGGATAGCAATTTTGTACTGTGTCCTTGATTTGATGGGGAGCCGTATTTGAGACATTGGGCCTTCTATAGTGCCATGAAGGGCCATTGCCAAACACATTAACAACTAAATTTACATTTCACAAGACGGCGTTAACATAATAAATCAATAATGTTTAGCTTGTGCTCATGTGAGACTGCCAACTGACGCGCGGTCCCTGAAATTGCATCCACGACAGACGATGTTTCTGTGACACAGGAGGACACACCCTCCCGCCAGCAAGGCAACGAGCGAAGGTCGCCACATCCCCACGGAACAGGCTGCTCGCCCGGCAGTCCACGCCGCCCACGCACCCGATGGGTGTCCAGTCGTGACTAACGGCTTGGCTTCGAGTCACGCCAAGTCTCCCTGCCCCTTCCGCACGGTTGCTATTCCCGTTCTGGAGGCTGAGCATATTGACTTGTGAATGAGGGAGCTAATTTCTGGAATGTGTCTCGCGAACCCCTTGGCAGTCCACGTGTCGGTTTAATCGGCAGCGGCCTCTCTTGTTTTTCTTATTTTTCTTAATTTCCTTGCCGGTGTTGAGGTAATGCCATTGAAGGTTATCTGACATTCTTTATGCGATTGCTCTTTTGTGGCTTTTGTGCACTCGGTAATGTTTGTCTTGTATTTGAAGAGACGGGGCATGGCATTCAAATGACCATTTATCGCGTGTATTCTGCAAAGGCCATTGATGGATTTCGGGTTTTGCAATATCCCTCATTAAAGTAAGGTTAATTCCTAAACTACATAACTATTAACTTGTGGATGCACACCCAGGCCGAGTCACAGCTCTCTGATAGACTAAATTCCTGCAGGGCACTCGGCCATATCCTTACAGTGATTTCACTGCATTGATGCATCAGACCGCATGGCTGAGCCATCGCAGTCCCCAAGATGCCATAATGACACACCTTGCCTAAAATTAAAAAGTATTTTATTCCTCATTAACAAAGCTTAGAAATGTTCAGAAATGTTTGAAGGACAACCTCGGGATGCACAGTCTACACGTTGCAGCTACAAACTAAAAGCTGTTTTGCTCGTCGGGTTCTATCTCCATCAAAATTAACTATACATTTTTATTTGTATTTAAAGCTTTCGTGACTGCAGTAATTCATATTCTTAGCTCTTTCGGTAAAGTCACGTTGAAGGGAAACAATAAAATAATAAAATATATATAAAACAATAAAAATTCTCACGACGTTTCGACCATAACACAAACGGTCGTCATTAGGTGTGTCGGTTTGCAAACCGTTTGTGTTATGGTCGAAACGTCGTGAGAATTTTTATTGTTTTATATATTTTTTATTATTTTATTGTTTCCCTTCAACGTGACTTTACCGAAAGAGCTAAGAATATACATTTTTATGTTCTGTAAGTCTTCGGCGATGCTGTGGATGAAACAACAGTGTAAATTTAAAGCCTAGGAGTTTCATTAGCGAAGTAATGTTTATTCGTGGATTGCCTACTGCTCCTTCTTGACTGACTAAGGTTCGGAGCACCATCAACTCAGCCGGGCCCTCCCAGCGGCCCACTCCTGCGGAGCAGAGAGGCCTGTGTCTGTCCCAATCCAGTGTCGACTGGCAAAGGTCTGTAATTGGTCATTCATTATATAGGCGTTCACCTTTCTCTGTGTATCCCCTCGCCTGCTCTGGCCATATTCACATTTCACTCGATCGCTCTTGATGCAATCTCTTGCCACGGTTTCCCTCTCCCACTCCATGGCGTCTGGGGCTCTGAGGCGATTTTGTGATATTATGAATGCCTGAAACTAAATTCATGGACATCACGCTAATTTTGATTTCATGTTGCTGGCTGTGTCCACATGGTGTGCGTTTCACTTATTTATTGTATATTTCCGAGCTGTCTGCTATGAAGAAGGGCCATTTCCCACAATTTATCCTATTATATATATTTTCTTTTTGGGAAATGTTATTTAACGAATGTGTTTAGTTTTATTTTTTAATGCTTGCGCACCACTGCCAAAGCAGACTCGCGTAAAAACAAACCTTTGTTGTATAAGTTAGGTTGCTGTTATTTTATAATTAATTTTGGACGAATAGAAATGAATTGTAAAAAAGAATACATTTACTACTAACAAGAATGTCCGTGTGTCCCGTGCGTGACATCAATCCACATAGAACAGCCCCCCTCATTAATAATCATGAACAGGTGACATCACTCCACATCGAACAGCCCCCCTCATCAATAATCATTATAAGGTGATGTCCTCCAAATGGACACCCCCCTTCATTAATAATAATTAGCGGGTGACGTCACTCCACATGGGAGAGGGGCGAGGAGGTGCCTCGCCCCTCCTCGGCGTCAACTCACAACCCTCACTACAAAGGCAGAACCCTCATCACGTCACTTGATCTCCGTAACGCTGTTGAGACATCAAAGTAAAAATGACGTCATAATGAACAAGGGATTATAACCTTAAAATGAAATAGGTCTGTGTCACCGCGCCCTTACAAATTGCACACGCATTAATGGTATTAATATCAAGTCGCGGTCTGCTTTTCGCTTGCAAGTTTCAGATTTTCTGAAATACACCCGTCCTTGGACGGGAAAAAAAGGCGAGTATTTATATAAATATGTATGATGTGCTCAGAATTTTCTTCTTCCTCGGTTTAGTACCATGGTTCAGAACTCACTGTTTCCTTCCACATATTCCAGAGATGCGTCAGTGATGAATGCCCGAGACCAAAACCTGACCTTGCTTTGCTGTGAATTGTATGGAAAATAAACACAAGCTAAAGCTTCTCACGTGACTGAACTTTGTACACAAGCTGCAGTCTGCACAAAACTACTGCCACAACTTCCAAAGCCGTGCTCTGCCACATCTGAAGGGACCACTCCTCTGTTGGCGCCTTCACTCACCACATCTACACATCATTTCTGCATCGAGTGCCGAGGCAAAGAGGCTGCACTTTTAAAAAAATATATGCATCAGGGTTTTTGCTTTACTGAACCTATATACATGAAGCAACACATATAAAGCAAGATCAAATCTGTCTCCTCATGAATATGAATATATTTTAGTCGATCGGTCGAATGTCTTTGCAGACGAATAATATTACCCAGCAGAATCTGTATAAGCAAGCAATCTGGACCGGTTTTGACCTTCTGTGTTCCATCAGCATTCATTACTTATTTCCAGTCAGAACAGTCCGGAACACTTTCCAGGAATGATTTTAACCCGACGCATCCATCTCACCGTAATTTGTCCTCGTTATACTTAGACACCTATAGGAATATAATGGTACAATAATAATAATAATGTAGGATTATTCTGGTTAGGCATACCTTGTGCTGTAGTGGGATTGCTCTACGCCGATAAACCCGACTCCAAGCCAGCTTAGCTTGTAGGAGAATAACGCAGTGAGAAATAAAGCCTTGACTACAGTCCCCCCCCCCCCGTACAATGACGCACTTGCCATAGGCAGCACGCTCCTGACACAGGGCAAAGCCACGCCACGAGTCGGGGACATTCCCAAAAAAACTCTGAACGGGTATCCGAAATCCTCGTGTCGGGGACGAGGCGTGGGGGCCACCCTCCTGCCGTCCGGCTGGATGCGAGCGTGCGCTGTCGCCTTCACTCCGCAGGCTGCGCTCTTGCAGAGACGCTGCGCCGGGGCTGCTGTCGGATTCTCGTGGACACTGCGGCAGTTGCAGGCTTCCAAAGGGTCCTCCATGGCACACCCCCTATCAAGCATCCCTTGTGGGGTTTTTTTGTTATTCAGTCAATGGAGTTCACTGCCTTTGCATTTCAAGGAAATCTCCAAAAGGAAGTTGTCATTGAATCTGAATCTTTATTTAGGCTGCAGGAGGAATGCGATGAGCTGTGAAGCTCTTTTTCGCAGACGTCCAGTAGGTCACTGACGTCCAGGAGGAATGACTACAATAGTCATTGAATGACTACTATCCGTTCGAATGTCTTTGTTGCGAAAGTGTTAAAATCGTGCCGTTGTTATTCTATAGCCGACTGCCCCTCCCCTCCCCCACCTCCCCCAATGTACGGGTTGAGCAGCTTCGTGTTGTTCGCAAGGAAGACATCACCATTCGCAGGAAGCAGAGGGGGTGCAACGTGGAAGCCACTCGGCACGATGTGGCCACAGGCCGCACAACTGCCGCAGTCGGTGGAAAGATGGGGCTCACTCGGGGAGCACGCAGGGCCAAGCGCCGACCTCGGGAGCGTCGTTCCACATCGTGAGTCTGCTGAGGGCCCAATGACAGGCGATGTCGCGCGTGCGCAATCAGACGCTCGTCTCTGAGCTTGAACACGGGACGTTCAGGCTCCTCGCCTCACAGGTAGTGGCCACTGCAGCAGAGCGCAGGGCAGAAGCTGTTGAGAAAGCTGTCCCTAAATGTAAACCAAATTCTGATTCACCGTTTTTTTGAAGATTTTTAAACATCGGAGAAAGAGATGCGTGCAACTTTTTTGTCTTTCTAGAATTCTCTTCCTAATTTGTTCGTTAATTTTCGAATTAAGTTTCTTAATTTACACAAATAGCTTTCCATGAAAAATGCTGACTTTATTGCTTCTGTAGATTTTTAAAATATTTGGACGCCAGTGGCGAGTTTGCTCAGAAATATCTCGAGTGAATGTTTTCCATGAATTCCCGCTGCTTCTGCATAGCAAAGCTAAGGGAACAGCTTACTTGAGATGTGTTATGCAACCAACCGTGGGCCTTTGCCAGCTGAATGTGAATTTCCTCTAACGTGTTTCAGTCCTTCCTCCGTGCGCCACGTTCCCACTTCTCATATTCGATTACATTTCCATTACCGTGCTCTTTTCTGCTGTCTGTTGTGAGAAAACGGAACAAAGGCTCGCCATTAGCCCGCAGACAGCATGATAACCTAGAGGTCGAAAGTTTCAGCTTCCTGCTGTCTTTTCAACTGAGAGCACATTATCTCAACGAAAATGCGCAATGGTATTGGCCTACCCTGCTGTGTACGGGACAATCTATTCAAGACGAGGCTGCCAGTGGAACTGTTAACCAGTGCCACGAGGATGTTTGAGATCGAGAGGTCATCACGGACAGAGTTGCTGACGTCACCACACCTCGCCGTCGTTCCTCTCTGCTGCTACATCCCAATTCTACAGTACAGTTGACACCTGACCGTCAAGGTGTGATATCACCAACACCACCATCTGTCCTTTGGTCGTCGCTTTGGCTGACGACCTATGGGTGCCACTCCTACGCCCGTTTCTTTGACCTGACCTCCTCCATCCAGAACATGTGACCCACAAATCACATGACCCTCATCTTCCTGATTTAAATACAAGACACTTTCCGGCCACGTTTCATTTATAACTGCCACAACGTCTCTTACACTGTCCTGCAGCGAAATGCTGAGCATCCGCCGTGCTAGCTGTGTTCAAAGGCCAGAAGCTTCTCTTCTAATTGCTTGGTAAAGTCCCAACTGTCAGGACCTTATCGGCTATTGCCCTCCGTGAGCCAAGCAGCCACCTTACTGAAGCAGCTGCGTAGCCCGAGGCTGAATGAGCGCAGCAGTGAGTGGACTCCACGCATGGACCTGTGTTTTGTTCTTCGCTCCTCCATGGGAGCGCTTCCGATGCAGCTCTGGCTGAAATGATGGCTCGCAAAATGGAGTACTCAGTTCCCACCGCTTCAAATGAGCATCTCTCTAGCCTCTGCTTTGGGTACGTGCATCCTTGTACAACATGATTAATGGCCACTAACACACATCAACCATGATTGACTAACATGAACAGTCATATGAGAAACTAAACGATGTTTATTTGACCAGGTAACCCCCGCTGAGCTATACAGAAATTGCAAGAAAGTACGATCCACATAGTACACAGGTCAAGCCCTCAGTATGATCAAAATCGGCTTAACTTTGGATTCCGCTTTGTTATTTTATTTCACAAGATTATCTTCCCAAAACTTATTTACCTCATCTCTCTCTGTCACACACATACAATATCAGAAACAGATAGTTGCGTGGGCAAGATTAAGTTGGTAAACATGCGCTTCAGAGAAGCCAAAGCATTGAATAGCCATCTGTCAGCCCTGGGATACTGACAACACTGGCACCAGAGCCGGGACTTTCCAGTGGAAAGTCACAACACAGATGGCGCGGGCATTCTATCGCAAAATGACTTTAAAAGTTAAACGAAGTGAAATCGAGAAACGTCCCCCGGTGGCACGCTGGCCCCGTGCAGTCGCTTGGCGGATGCTACCTTTTCCCACATGCGGCCGTTGTTCAGCACCATGACCGTCATCGAGGGCTTCTCCAGGTAGCCGTCGCTGTTGAATGATAGGTCCCTGCCTTTCCACGTGATGTTGTGGAGGTATCTGCAATGACACGGCACGGCACTGTTAATGGCATTATTTTTTGTTTTATGCTACGCATAGACGATTAGGATGTTGCCCGTGGCGTGTGATGGTTGGCGCCGCACTGTGCTCGAAATTCTGGAGGTTGCCACTTCGATTCGATCTCCCGGCGTGGCAGTTTTAAACGACGGTGCAAGTTTCTTAAAAGGCTCCCGGTAAATCACCCCGTCCTCTGCCTGGCAAGCGGAGTGCTGTATCCATGGGTTGCCACCGTTTGTCGACCGGCAGGTTACGTGTGGTGGGGGACGTTTCGGCACTCCCACCTCTTCCAAGACGTCTGGCTAGCGTGGAATAATCGGCGAAATGTCATCCTAGAGGGGAGCTCTAAAGATCCCTTTCGTGGAGGCACTTTCACCGTCAGCAATTTCAGAGCTGCGTCTTTACCTTTTTATGTACCATATAAAAAAATGTACCAAGATTGTCAACAACACTGTGGCCTTAAAAGGGAAAATATGGAATAGGCGAGGTTTCGGGCAATGGCCCTTCTTCATGGCAAATTGATTGTGCTTGTGTACCACTGCCACCGCAGGATCGGCAAACAATGTGTTCCTTCTTATATATGATAAGTCAATAGTGATTACTCAACAAAGCGGCTCGTCCCCATCAAAGGAATGTGGAATTTCCACCTCTGGCTTGGATAAGCAGCCATTTTGTTCTGCGAGACACATTTTGGGCTGGGAGGCAATGTGATTTGAATCTCATGTAAAAACACGTCAGGTTAAATAACATTCACAACAGCAACATGTCTTGAGTCCAACTTTAAATATGGGCACAGATGCTAAGCTGCATATGAGAGATACAACTGACGACCATTGATATAATTGATTAATACATCAATTGTTAAATGCAGCAACAATAATTGAATAAAGCATAACTATACTGTGTACCGTTTGTGGAAATAAACAAATTCCACACACAAGGATCAACACATGTTTTAAATGACTTAGATGGAGATGGACATGCATTGGCGATGTCAATTATATATATAAAATAGATTTCGTTAACTAATGTTTCAACACGACTGCAGATATTCACATTACAAAGCTGGGGGACTTTGACCCTGAGTATTAAAAAAAAACACTAATCCGTTATTTATCTAGGAAAGCCTCACAGGGCATCAGTTAGGGAAGTCTGTACAATTCCGTGATGCATATCATTTAGCTTTTTCAAGGAAACCAAGGCCTCATTTATAGTCCTTTGTCCACTGCTGGACGAAGGCTCCCACTTGCTTTTTTATGGAGGTTGAGACATCACCAGGACCGATTAAGACATCACCAGGACCGGTTGCTCATAGCAGAATGCGCTAACCCTTGTGCCACCACACCCCTTACACCGATCAATTAAATAACTGATTGGTTGATTGATGTTTTAATAACCCAGATCCCGAAGAATTCTGGTGAACAGTGGAACGCAAACGTCCAGAAAAAAACGCCTCATTTGAGACCGACACATCGCAACCTCCTGGCCTTGACATTCCTCCTCAAAGACACCGGTGGTGCAACCATCAGCTGCATCCGAACATCGACAGTAGGTCGCTGCGCACGTCTCCTTCATGAATGGGAAATTAGAGCCACAGCCACAGTAGTCCGACTGTGGCCATGCAACCCAAACCATGGACCATATAGTGAACCTATTGTAGTCTGCGATTCCTCAATGGAGGATGAGTCAGCAAAACTGCACAAACTCTGTCCTGAGACTCTCTCGTGGCCAGCAGACAGCGACATTGGCATAAATGCGTGAACGCATTGCTGCCAATTAATTGATTTTACGTAGCAGCCTTATACGTAGCCCTGCAATGTGGGAATCTCACGTGCATCGCCGTGTCTGCGTGATCCATGACCCCCAGACCACCACCAGCAGCAGCAGCAGAGCGCCGGATTGCGACAGAACTCGTGCTGCCATCTCGGTAAGAGACCAACGCGGCCACTTTGAATGCGCACCTCTTCAGATGCGGCGTCAGCGTTCCGAGCGGGGCTCACAAGGTGGTTTCAAGAGAACACCACGCAATCACTTTGAGAGGTTTAGCATTGTTTTTTTCCTGTATATATAATTATATATATGTGTTGCTCCTGCTGCTGCCTCAGCATTAAGAGTGACATCACGAAGGTGTCCTCAGCAAGAACAAGACGGCCCGCAAGCTTTGAAAGGGAGCATTTTTAGACACTGTCAGCAACCCTTTGTGAGCGGTGGATGGCCATTAAACATGTTGGCGACGGCGGGGGGACATGCGACGGTATTGATTTTGCTCATCTCAATGTTAATGGTCGCGTAAAGTGCCCCTGAGATTTCTTAAAGTAAAATCAGGGTCGTGAGTGACCGCCGGAAATACAAAAATGCCTGTCAGGCGCGTTTTCTGCGCTGCGGTTGCGTGTTTCTGTGCATGTGCACATTCAGTCCTGACCAGTGGCGTCGGTGAGATTGGAACGCGCTAGACGGTGATTGCGATGTACATCTATTCTCACTGACAGATGAGCTTTTATAACTGTTCATCATTGTCTTCGGCCTTTGGGAGATTGCCCCTTTGATGTCGCAGCTTGATGGAGAGTTCTCATTTCGCTATTGTTATTCCTGCCTTCACGACATTCTAAATCATAAAAAAAATTCAAACGTCGAGTTAAAATCTGCAATTGCCGTTTTAAAGGCTGCCAAATGGAAACAATTCTACGCTGAAAACAAGGACTTGGCCTATATCAAATGCAGAGCGTTCTTTCAATTGACCCGATAGACTTTCTGTGCATTTTGTGCATAAAAGTCTTCCATTGTACTCTCTCACCAAGAGACATATTTAAAAAAAAGGTCAGAGCCTCCCTGCTCAATTGCACATTGGAGCCAGGTTCATCTGCATTGGTGTCGCTGACCCAGTGCTGGAAAATTCACATTCCTATGGCCGGGATCCAGTTTCTCTTTTAGACCATCACAATTAACGTCCCAAATTGTCCTCCTCATTTCACTGAACCAGGAGGGATGTGTGGGCCGAGTCATTTCCCTACCATAATTTTAGCGCGCAGCCCTCTGATGGGATGTTCAGTCACTGACACCTGGCCAGATGGCGGTCGACAGGGAGGTTGTACGGTGCAGGCCAACCCAGCAACAAGAGACGGCTCCATATTCGTACCGTAAACATACATGAGCCGTAGCAGCCTGCGTTCGGCAGTGCCGCTCAAAACGCTGGCAAGCAGCATTCGTCTGCAAACTCAGCTGCAGTGCTTGGCAATGCCATTGTTTAGCCGGTTAGTGCCACCAAGCTCTGGCCAATTGGATAGGACCCTCAATGGTGATTTTGTTCCTCATTTTACACTGACGTAGTCATCATCATCATTATGTATACCTCGCCTCCCATGCAGTACGTCTAACGGTGCCAGAGCAAAGGGGTGTTTGAGATGGCTGCATGGTCTTAAAAATGATACCCTATTTCGAACCAACTGATGTATCAGGTTAAACTGACTGATAGTCAATTCCAAGTGATAGAAGCACCGGTAAGACAACCCGGCGACATCTCAAGGCACTCCTGAATAATTCTTCTGGAGGAATGTTGTCGCTTCACCACACACTTCAAAGTCACTGACGCCCTGCTCCAACGAGCACTGCAGAAGCACACAAATCCATTGGCAGTTCTGAGTCAGCGGTAAAAATTCGACTTTTCGAGGAACGGGTATCCAGTCTATCCGTTGGACAAAACCACAATTTACTTACCACAATATGGCAGTCATTCTATCAATCCTGGAGGTATGATGGGTTGGGTCAACCCCCAACCAGGAATTAAACTTACAACTTCATGATTTTGAGTTGAGAACTCTGCCAAGAGGACCATCCGCTAAGATGCAGTAGTCACAATAACAACTAACAAGCATCTGTCAATCTGGATAAATGCCTCCCATGCTATGTCAGTCACAGGGGTTGTTTGACCATACTTCACCAGACTGATGCAATAATAAGACACTTTGTTGAGCTATTATTTGTGGCCAGGTCGCTTCTGAAAAATAAGTTAATACATCAGTGGGCTTTGCCTTGTAGCATGGGGATGGTTTAGTGTTGTATTTGTATGCGTTTGGGTGATGTTTCCCTTTCTTGCACTCCTATCGTGTTGTTGTACTGTTTATTGTTGTAACGTTCTTACCCCGTGTCCCTACTGGACATCTGTGAAAAAAAGCTTCATAGCTCATCTGATTGCTCCAATATAAATACATATTCTAATTCTATATGATGACCAGGACCTACTCATACATCAGCCAGGGATCGAACTCAGGGCCGCCAGGTCCACCACTCAGCAGGCAATCCACCGTGCCACCGTTTCACCCGGTGTCGGTCATTTCGTCGAAAATACTCGGGTGTTTTTTTGTCAAAATATACAAAGATACAAATGCATTCTCTCGTTAATGAACGATTAAATGAGGAGGTGGTTCGGGCCTGGCATTCCGAGCCATGGAACGCACTGCCTGACGTCTGCATGCTTGTGACCTGTGCCAGGCCGAGAAACTCTCCTAAAACCAAACAAAAAACAAAACCTCAACACATTCTCCTTACACATGAATGTAATCCGTCTCTGTCGGTACACCGGCACAACCAGCACAGGAACGAGCGTGCCGTTGGGCCCCTTGTAATTACCTCACCATTGTCCTTTCGTTTGACTGATCAAACGCATTCATTTTAAATGTCATTAAGTGACGTGCAATTTTACTGCGGTGACCGGTCAGTTATTTCAAACGGGACCCACAGATAATTCACATTTCACAACGTGTGATGCGTGTCTTCTACTTGGCATTAAAACGCTCTACTGCTAACTGTAATAACCGGAGATACTGGTCGAATCAAACCTTTTTTTCATCATCATCGGCAGCAGCTTAATAATCACCAGCAGCAGTGAGATCCTCGTAGAACATTCTTCAATAATCAGCAGCAACATTAAAATAAGCGGCAGCATTATTACTGCAATCAGCGGCATCAAAATCAGCAGCAGCACT